AAAAAAAGTAAAAGAAAGCTGCATAAAAATCAATAATACAAAAAATGATATCTATAGCTATTGCCTTTTCTAGAAACGTTGCCGAGGTTGCATGGTGAAGAGTAATGTGTAGTGATGGACATACGTCGATGCTGAAATCGCAGTTGAATTAATGAACGGAGTATTTTTCTGCTTAAGTTATTCAATGTGTCATGTTTAGTTTCCTTTCAATTTCAATCCTCCTTACTACTTTTCCTCCATGGTTGAAGTTTGGCGTCTGTCGTTTTATATTTTATCTCACAGGCCTAGTTAAGTTTGGTGGCAGAAACCCATTCATATTATTTACCTACGGCGTAAATAAGCTCACCACGCTCAATACCAACCACATGAAGCCCCCAGTGTTGTGAATGGATTGGGCGTTTGAAACGAAACAATTTCCATATCCCCCAAAATCGAAATCTCAAGTCAAGTGAGAGGCCCACAACACGAAAGTTATTTATTTGCAAAGCCCGACCAGTTAGAGATATCCAAAAATAGGGCGATGGGTAAAGTACATAAGTAACCCAAGGGAATGCAAGAATCCGTCACCCGCGGCGTCTGTGGCCAAGATGGCTGTCTCGAGACGCGATATATCCTGGAAAATGGTCTGTGGTTTTGTCGGGCTGGTGGGCATCAGCAGGAGGTATGTTTTTATCGAATGGTGTTGTTTATCTGGATTCTATATCAGGGTGTAGATATGTGTGGATGCGGACATGTTGAGATAAGAGGAGGATTTTTTGAGAGGCGGAGAGGAGAATGAGGAATGAAATGAAGCATGGAGGCGACCAGCTAATACATGGGTGTGTATAGGGCCGCCAAGTGATCGTTGACGATGACGATTTCGGTATGCAGGGCAAAGTCATCCGGCAGAAGAAGGTGAAGCCGGAGAGAATGTCGAAGAGTTAGTCTTCATTTCTTTGATATGCATCCATACATCCTTCCTTTCCTCACTCGCCTTTTTTTTTTCCGTCTCTGTCACATTTCGCGCTAGGAATATGTCACATAAATACCTACATACCTTTGGAGTGGAAACGAAGTAAATTGGATTTTGCCTTGGCGTGACTGGTGGGC